AAGACCACCTGACCAGGACAGACATGGTCGCCAATGCAACACCTCATGGACTACACATATTGGAGAAAAAAAAAGTACACATTTTGAAATCATTTTTAAAACGGTAATCTGGAAAGTTTAATATTCAACACACGAGTTTGAAACAAAACATGCAACACTAGCAGATTACAATTAACATTGTATGACAGTTTATGATCCTGATTACATCAATACTTTCACGTCATTCTTTCTACAGAGCGGTATTTGCTTAATACAATAAGTATAACAACAATTGGGTGGATATAGTATAAGGGCCTTTTAGATATAGACTGGACACAATTTAAAGACAATTTACGCCATGTACTGGACACAGTTTAAGGGACCTGTTACGCCGTAGACGACACAGTATTAAGACAATTTAGGCAGTAGAGTGGATATAGTGTAAGCAAAGACCTTTTTAGATTAGACCGGACACAATATCGTCATCATCATCAGGTGCCTTGCCGACTGGCGTGGGCGATCATGCCTCTCCATAATTTGCGATCTTCTGCAGCATGTATCAGTTCGGGTGCCGACACACCTCTATGCCATGCAACAAGACTGTCAAGCATCTTCTCTCGTCTTCCTCTATCCCTTTTTCCACAGATCTTTCCAGTGGTCACAACATGTTCTATTTTCCCTCTTCTCCTAACATGGCCGAAAAATGATGACTGTCTCCTTCTGATGTCTGGGATAAGTTGTCTTTGGGCTCCCGCCTCTTTCATAACCTCTTGGTTGCTCTTTTTGGCTGTCCAAGGTATTCTAAGCATTCTTCTGTAAAACCACATCTCTGAGGCCTCTAAACATTGTTTGGCCTGCCTACCAATTGTCCAGGATTCACATCCATATGTTAAAACTGGATGTATGTAGCAAGCAAGAATTCTTTTTCTAACTCTCAATGACTAGGATATATTGCACAAGATGTTTTTCATTTTATAAAATGCAGTTTTTGCCTGTCCAATTCTGTTTCTTATTTCAGTTATGCATTTTCCTTCTGATGTTATCCATGTGCCCAGATACTTAAATTTCTGTACTTGTGCTAAAATAACACATTTGACTTTTATTACACATTTAGGAATAATTTGTTTCTTTGATACCACCATTACTTCTTTCTTCCAATTATTCAAATTGAGGCCCATTCTTCCACTTTCTAACACCACAATGTCTATCATTTCCTGTAATTCTTTCTGACTTGTTGCTATCAAGTCTGTGTCATCAGCATAACGTAAATTGTTTATATTGTGCCCACCAACCATAATTCTGGGCATATCAATTAAAGATCTCATTATATATTCACTGTATATTGAAAACAAATCAGGTGACAGTACACATCCTTGTCGTACGCCCCTCTTTATGCTTTGAAATGTACCTAAACCGTTGTTTATTCTTATAGCTGCTGTTTGTTGCCAATACATATTCTTTTTTTTTCGTAGATCTTTCCCATCAATGTTTAATTTATCTAACAGTTTAATTACTTCTTCATGCTTCACACAGTCAAATGCTTTTGTATAGTCTATGAAGCATAAGTACAAATCAGTCTTTACTTCTATAGCTCTTTCTGACAATGTCCTTAGGATGTAAATGGCATTGTTTGTACCTTTTCCTTCTACAAATCCACATTGTTCATCGCTGATTTCTGGTTTAATTTTGTTTATTCTTCTCATAATTATTCTCAGTAAAATCTTAGTCATGTGACTCATAAGACATTGTGCGATGGTCGGTCTTCACATTTTAAAGTGCCTGGTTTCTTTGGCAGAGCTATAAATATGGATTTTAAAAGGTCATTTGGAATATACCCACTATTATAAATATCATTTAAAAGTTAAGTTATTTTTTTTCAGTTCTAAAATCTCCCAGTGCTTCGATTTCTTCCAGTGAGATGTCTGGCCCGGGTGCTTTTCCTTTCTTCATATGATGCATCCTCAACTTCTGCAGTCATTATTGGTGGACCATCATTGTTGGTCTGCAGATCTACATCTGGTCTATTATCATCATACAATTCCCTTATCTACTCTGTCCATCTGTTAATTATATTACTATGTCCCAATAATAAGTCACCATCTTTTTGATTCCAAACATCCAGTGCTGTTACGTGTCATCTTTCCTGTTAACATATTTATCTGTTGGTACATGGAATGTGAGTCTTTCCTGTGATTTTCCCCAATCTCTGTACACATTTGATTCAGCCACTTTAGCCACTTTGCATTTGTTCACTATTTCTTTTTGTATTTTAGAGTATTCTTCTTTATCATTCTTTTTCTTCCTTCTTTCATCCATCAACTGCAGAATTTCGGTTGACATCCATTTCTTTTTTGCAACTCTATGGGTTAGTGTCTCTTTTGATGTCTGCTGAATTGACTCACGCAATATATCCCACTGTTCATCAATAGTCTGTATAATATCCATTACATTATACCGGTTTTGTACAGTGACATTGTACTGTTCCTTAATTTCTTTATCCGTTCTAAGAATTCCTAAATTTAACTTGTTCTGTAGTGTTTTTCTAATGTTCTTTAGTTTTATTTTAATTTTTCCTACAACTGGAACATGGTCACTAAAGCAGTCTGCCCTGGTCTAGTTTTTGCTCCAACTAAGCTGCTCTGGAATCTTCTTGAAATCAAAATATAATCAATCTGATTGCGGACATTATCACCAGGACTTTTCCAAGTCCACAATCTTCGAGGATAGTGTTTAAACCAGGTGTTACCTATTATCATGCTGCGCGAGTCCACCCATGCTATTAATCTGTCACCTCACATTCTTTTCTCCTAGGCCATAGCCACCCGTTATTTTGTACACTTTTTCACTTCCTTCTTTCGCGTTGAAATCTCCAAGTACCATATACAATATACAGACACGTTAGGACGTGTACTGGACACAGTATAAGAGAACCTTCTACGCCGTAGGCGACACCATAAAAGGACAATTTAGGCCGTAGACTGAACACAGATTAAAAACATAATATAGACCAGCGTTTCGTAACTTGGTGTGTATGGGTGCGTGCGTGCGTGTGTGTGTGTGCGCGCGCGCTATGCCCCCTATGTATCTCAAACCCCGGATAAGTCGGTTTTCGAATTGCCTCCTTACGATCATATCAGCCCCCCCCCCCCTCCTCACGCACCCCCAATCGCCCCCAGTAAACAATCAAATTGTCCTATCCCACTCTGTGTGGCGTGAACCCAAAGTTGGAAAACACTAATGTAACCTGTTTCACGATTATTTAAGCTGTGGACTGGACGTAGTAGTCATGAGCCTGTCTGTTGACACGGTCAGCGTTCCTTTCGACCACAAACTGGTAGGGGTACAAGTTGGTCTGCGCCGATAGCTGGTCCAGCTGCAGCATCTGAAAGTACATGCAAACAGGTCAAGGAGGAAAGGATGCTAGGGCGTCGACACACACACATGTAGCGTTCTCAATTACCATACCCAGTCTGTCGACCAGTTTGTACCCTGCAATCTGCGACCTCAATGCTAAACATCCAATAGAGAATCTCAATGTGGACGGCAGACCAACAAGGCAGGTCTCAGAGACCCCGTTCAACCTCCAAAGAAGTTATCATTAGGACACCCATAACGGTGACACCAGCCAAGTGTAGCTTGAAGTCCTATATGGGTTAAGGCTCCCATTATAAGCGAGCCATCATTTCTATCAACATCCAGCTAAAGAATACTTGGCTATCCTCCGAAAAACGGTCCCAAATTATCAAAGCCGAAAATATACCCTAACAGGGTCTCAGTAACGTGTCAATTGCGCACTTCCGTCGTCTTATATTGCGCACTTCCGCCACCGCCGAGAGTATCCCACACACCGCTCACGCAGCGTAGATTGGGGCTAAACTGGATGGCTGAGACTCACGAGCAGCAGCTACCACATCTCCTGCAGCTTCCTTCATTTTATTTGCTTGTGAGTCCTAGCCATTTAGTTTTGACCCAATCCACGTCGTGTGAGCGGCGTGTGGGATAGTCTTGGCGGTATAGTCCCCGGAAGTTCGCAATTCGGCGGTGGCGTTATAGTCCCCGGAAGTGCGCAATTGACACATGACTGAGTCCCTGTTAGAGTATATTTTCGGCCTCGATAATTTGGGACCGTTATTTGGAGGCTAGCCGAATACTTATGAAACTTGATTTCGAGGTCCTGATCACGTTTCCCAGCCCATCTACATACTTTCTCAATCTGATTTAGGTCATGGAATGTCAGGCTCTACGAGTCTCTCGTGTGCCCTAAGCTGAGGCTGTGGGTTAGGGCCAGTTCTTCATGTTATGGCGTAGTTTAAAGCTGTGTCCTCGTGTAGCATAAAACACGCAACATCAGCGCTGATGTAATTAGAGGGAAGACAATATGACACCCCTCCGACGTAGACTAGTCTGAGAAAGTATGAATGAAAGGTCAGGTAGTGTGTAGATGTGCCGGGAAACGGGAACAGGACCGATTTCGACCATTTTTCTAATTATGTTATCAAATTCGACATCACGGCACAATAGGCATTCCCATGCGTGCTCAGTCCTTCGATGCAGCAGCCACTCCAAGGTAGAGGTAGGATGTTGACTAGTCCTATCAGGACGTGTTTCGTCCTGCTTTCCTCCTCTATCGTGTTAGAATTGATTGCTGCTTGCTTGTTGTACCCCATCCCCGCCGCCCCCCCCCCCAGGACATAATACAAGCGATAAACACCCGGTGACACAGTGCCACCATGCGGATGAGGATCACCCGTGGAGAGGTCCCAGAAACCGCTTTAAGCCGTTATGGCCACATTCCTGGCCCGGCTATATTCACGGCCCAAAGGCAAAAACAAGGGTGGGGCTTCAAATAACAAAAAACTGCATCCCACAACGGGGACGACAGTTAACGCAACATATTAGAATTATAAATCAAACCATGGAAGTATCGATTGCATCAGTTACCTTCTTATAACACAACGATTTAAAATAACACCAGGGTAATGCTGAAAGGGTTAATATATTCAAGTAACTAGACAGCAAACCTCTTCTAGGGTCAAGCTCCATCCGTTAGCTCCCATGTTGTCATCCAGTTGGGCAAGAGTTCTGGCCCCAATGATGACTGACGAGACGACGTCCTTCTGTAGAAGCCAGCGGATGGCCACCTGCGGGACACTCTTGGCTGTGTTTAGGGAGCAGAGAAGCCAAATTTATGACACAAGATATTATTTATCATAAATATGTGGATTCCATCCAACTTTGGCATCAAAGACAATGAAGCCACTGACGCTTTAACCAAAGAAGGCAGAAACAAACACCAAATCTACAAGACATGATCTTTTCAGAAGTCAAAACCCTCATCAAGATAAAATCAGAAGCAGATCTGAAAACAAACAGGTTATAACCAGGAACATATTTCCTTAATTATCTAAAAAAAAAAAAAAAAAAATTGACAAAGTTAATTTTATTTAATTTTACACTGGGCGCTGCAGACCTAACACTCATATAAATTCGGTATGAGCCAGACAGCCTTGTGTCATTGGCCTTGTGCTAAACAGACTCCATAACATGTCTTATAAGACTACTAGAGGAACTGTAAAGTAACATTTGGCCACGCCCAGTCACCTGACAACTAAGCTTAGGGAAAACCTGGCATCCCAGTTTATGGTCCATAATGGATTAAGCCCATGGCCATAGATCGCTGGAGGAGGAGGAAAAAATATTACAGCGTGAGTGGTCAAATTATTATTTTGTGATCATACAACATGGCAAGTTTCTAAGAGAAAACAGTTGACATTCTGTAAGATCAGACCATTAGAGAAGCGAAGAAATGGAGCAACATGTTCCATAATTTGAGTACCAAATAGTACCTGTTGATTTATATCTTTCTTTAGTTCAACAGTTTTAAGTTCGTCTTACACTTCTTATTCTTCAGCATTCACAGCCATTGGCGTTGACTGCTGCAGATATCATCCGCCTCCACTCATATCTCTGATGGGCCTTCTCTTTCCAGTTGGTGACACCTAGTGTTTGTAAGTTTGTCAGGACATTATCTCTCCATCATCTTCTTGGTCTACCTCGTGGACTACGACCATTCAGTCTCCTTCTATACACAGTTTTATCCTATCTATCATGTGACATTCTCTCAACATGCCCCAGCCATTTCAGTCTATTAGCTCTCGTGATGCCAATGATCAATGGTGATTTAAACAAATAGTGAATTTCGTTGTTGCTTCTTACTCTCCATTCGCCGCTGGTTGCATATTTGATTGGTCCAGAGATTCGCCGTAAGACTTGTTTTCTAAAATCTACAATAAGGCTTCATCTCTTTTATTTATGCCCCAAGTTTCAGTGCCATATAACACGACTGGTCTTAACGTTTTTGTATATTTTGATCTCGCCGTGACGCCGCGAGGAATTCCATGAGTAGAGGAAAGAAGAAGAAGAAGAAGAAGAAGAAGAAGAAGAAGAAGAAGAAGAAGAAGAAGAAGAAGAAGAAGAAGAAGAAGAAGAAGAAGAAGAAGAAGAAGAAGAAGAAGAAGAAGAAGAAGAAGAAGAAGAAGAAGAAAAGATCTTGATGTTGCGAGGTGGAGACTTTGTCCAATATTTCCATGTAAAACAGAATAGTAAAGAACAGTTTTCGACGCAGAGGTGGATCGGACATATCGTCAACATTATTATCGTTATCATTCACCATCATTGTCAGCGACCTAATTTACTATAATCATTTTCTATGGCTCACTAGGTAGGCCCGCTAACAGACTTCACTACCCTGGACACACTCAAGCCACGCACCTGCTGAGTACAAACATAATCTTTATTGTACAATGAACAACACAGCTGGAGACACCTCAACGAAGTTGGCAGCCCTTATCCGAAACGGTGGCGTTGAGCAGCTTTTACATTCACTGGTCAACCCAAGCCGTCCCCATGGATCCTTAAGGGCACGATTCCTAACTAACAGTCTATCAGTGCTAACTACGCCGCCGTCTATTGCCACACTGGACTCAGCGGCACACGTAAGGTGTATGGCCTAAGCGTGACTGGGCAGTGATACCGCCATTAACAATGCGTGTCACACATTCACTAACTGCTCAAACAAATACTGCGTGGAACGTCTACTACACAAGGAACATTAACTCTACACTATCTCGTAGAAACATTAAATGGAAACACAGCCTATCAAAGATACTAAACACAAATGCTATTGATTCTAGCCTCACTAAACTAACGTACCTTTACCTAATCAAAACGTTACGTCTGGTCCAGTCCAGTGTCACTACACAACTCCCCGAGTCAGCTCTGTCCAAGCTCTTTTGTTTCCTTCTGCTTTCATGCCTCGATACGCGGTAATGTGTGTTAATCGTGGGACCTGGCTTAGCCAGTTAACTCAACCCAGTTTATTCCGTGGTCAAGTTGCCCGGTCTCACACTGAGCTTTACTGAAGGTCAACTCGTTCATACATAATGATTCACTATCATCAACTCCGTTCATCCCATAGCCGAATTGGCCTCTGACAATCATCATGTTTTCCCATAGGCTCGCATACTGTTTCTCCATTCCGTTTTATTCAATGGGAGCCGCCATGGTGTAGCGGCTGGACGTTCTCCTGCGGATCCGGAAGTCTTGGTTTCAATTCTGAACGCAGACTTTTTCAAAAATAACATAAGCTCCCAGATCGATCCTGCCTTAAAATGGGTAGCAGGGAAAGTCTTAGGAAGCAATGCGACTGGCGGGATGTTGACCACATCGCCCAAAGAGTGCTAATCGATTTGTAAAATATAGGTCTAGCCTTATAAGCACAATACGAAGGCGTGGAAAAAAAAGGTCTTTATTTCCTTTTCACATCCTAACGATATCACAAACTGAATCCAATTCAGCACCTTTGACCTTTTTCAGCGTTCGTTTAATCTTTCTCCTGGGTGTGCTAGCTTTCTCAATCCTTTTGTTTTTCATTTCAGTGCCTGCTTGGCGATTCGCTGCTCGATGCTTCACGCGATGTATGATGCCAGGCTTCTATTCTCATAGACCAACACGCATCGGAGAGGATTTGTGGTCAACACCAGCTCGGCCATCTTTACTTCCCGTGAACTTCATGGTACATATTTTAGACTGGGTCGACCAGGCAGTCAAGGTCAATTATTAAAAAAAAACTGCCTAACGCGATTTCCAACCAAAGGCTTTCGTCCCGGTTGGGACGTTTAGTCAGTCCTGCTTCGGATCAAAATTGTCTTCTACTTCTGTCCGACTGCTTTGGTCGTCAAACGTCGCATAAAATAAATACACTTTCTGTTGATTAATTCGTAAAACGTTGCAGAGAGGAGTTAGATGTAGCCTCCGGTCTTCTGTCCTTCTGCTTGTGTCACAGAGAGGAGTTACATGTAGCCTCCGGTCTTCTGTCCTTCTGCTTGTGTCACAGAGAGGAGTTAGATGTAGCCTCCGGTCTTCTGTCCTTCTGCTTGTGTCACAGAGAGGAGTTAGATGTAGCGTCCGGTCTTCTGTCATTCTGCTTGTGTCACAGAGAGGAGTTAGATGTAGCGTCCGGTCTTCTGTCATTCTGCTTGTGTCACAGAGAGGAGTTAGATGTAGCGTCCGGTCTTCTGTCATTCTGCTTGTGTCACAGAGAGGAGTTAGATGTAGCGTCCGGTCTTCTGTCCTTCTGCTTGTATCACAGAGAGGAGTTAGATGTAGCCTCCGGTCTTCTGTCCTTCTGCTTGTATCACAGAGAGGAGTTAGATGTAGCGTCCGGTCTTCTGTCATTCTGATTGTGTCACAGAGAGGATTTAGATGTAGCGTCCGGTCTTCTGTCATTCTGCTTGTGTCACAGAGAGGAGTTAGATGTAGCGTCCGGTCTTCTGTCATTCTGCTTGTGTCACAGAGAGGAGTTAGATGTAGCGTCCGGTCTTCTGTCCTTCTGTGTGTGTCACAGATTAGAGTTAGATGTAGCATCCTGTCTTCTGTCATTCTGCTTATTTCGCAAAATGTCGCACAGAGTTACATGTAGCGTCCTGTCTTCTGTCTTACTGTTTATGTCGCAACATTTCGCAGATATGAGTTAGATGTAGTAAACTATCTTTTGATAGATGCGTAACAAGTGCTAATGTCTCTGTGTGCGCAAAAGTTAAATAATGCGCAAAAGTTAAATAATTCGCAAATAAACAAACAACATACCGTGTTTCTTTGCTATAGCTTCCAAAGCCTCCAGAAGGTCAAAGGTTTTATCGTCAAGTTTCTTCCAGTTTGGGGCCGACTGCATTTCCTTGGACTCGTCCGCTGCCACCCAGCTCATCCTGCCTTCCGTCGGTTTCTGACCCCTCTTGACCTTTCCTGCCAGCAAACCCCTACAAGAAAACAAAAGTCCATTTCGGTTTACCATGTTCAAATGTTACAGAAACTTGAAAATATATCTATTAAAAAAAAAACAACTTTGGTCTTATTTGTCGCAAATGTAAGGAGTACCCCACTAATTAGTTCTCGACAGTGTTGCTTGAGGACTAAAACGGGGTTTTAAAAACACAAAGGTCCAGTTCATTGCATTGTGTTTCATTCTCACTAAGGTCATATTCAATCATCTCAGATATAACATCCTTTACGTCTAACTGTAACATATCACAAAAAAAGTATATATGTCACTTGTAGCATACAAATCACGTCTGGCCAAGACATTTTTTAACAAACTCATTGGAGAGGCAATAGAATATGACCACAGTCTAGGTGTAATAAAATATAGAAATGTATATCTTAGCAAACTATAATCATAGACTAGTACATAGGTCAATAAACTATGACAGTTGTCCATATGTCAGTAAACTATGACAGTAGTCCATATGTCAGTACACTATGACTCTTAGTCCATATGTCAGTAAACAGTAACTTTAAGTCCAAATGTCAGTAAACTGACTGACTGACTTATGTACCATAGTCTAGGACATCACACAAGTATAAACACCCGATGACTTAAAGTCCATCTGCGGGGGATCACCGTGGAGAGGTCCCAGAAACCGCGTAGACAATGAATCTTAGTGGCCATATATTGCAGTAAACTATGAATCTTAGAGTCCATTCAAACAAAAAATTTCGTTCTGAAAAGGACGGAAGTGGAATATGTATGTCAGTAAACTATGACTCTTAGACCATATGTCAGTAATCTATGACTCTTAAACCATACAAGGTCCGACAATTAAGTAATGAGACTAATTCCATAAAAATTTTAAAAATCAACAGTTGAAGATATAACCTGTATTTTATTCAAAGTAAGCCTTTTGTGCATTATTACAGCGAGTGGCACGATCTAATAAATGCTGGAACAACCTCTGTAGTTCTTCTTTTATTATGACCCTCAAAGTCGGTGTTACGGCCCTTTGGATGCCATCAATATTGTCAGAGAAGCGTCCAACTTTAATTTTGGGAATAGAAAATAGTCACAGGGAGACAAATCTTGGGAACAGGGTGGATGGTTTGGAACATGCATCTGTTTTTGAAGCCAAAAATTTCTATGACTATAGTCCATATGTCAGTGAACTATGACTATAGTCCATATGTCAGTGAACTATGACTAGTCAACACATTAGTAAACTATGACTGTAGTCAACTTAGAAATAAACTATGACTGTAGTCCATTTGCAAGTAAACTATGACTATAGTCCATATGTCAGTGAACTATGACTATAGTCCATATGTCAGTGAACTATGACTATAGTCCATATGTCAGTGAACTATGACTAGTCAACACATTAGTAAACTATGACTGTAGTCAACTTAGTAATAAACTATGACTGTAATCCATTTGCCATTAAACTATGACTGTAATCCATTTGCCAGTAAACTATGACTGTAGTCAATATGTCAGTAAACTATGACTGTAGTCCATATGTCAGTCCACTATGACTGTAGTCCATATGTCAGTAAACTATGACTGTAGTCAACATATCAGTAAACTATGACTGTAGTCAATATGTCAGTAAACTATGTAGTCCATATGTCAGTAAACTATGACTGTAGTCAACATAGCAGTAAACTATGACTGTAGTCATCAGTATCAATAATTCTCAGTCCATAGGTCAGTAAAAATGACAGTAATCAATATGCCAGTAAACTATGACAATCGTCCATATGTCAGTAAACTGTGGCAGTAGTCCATATGTTAGTAAGTATGACTAGTCCCTATGTCAGGAAACTGTGACAGTAGTCCATATGTCAGTAGATATGAATGTAGTCTAAATGTCAGTATACTACGACAGGAATACAAAATGTCTGAAGTTATGTCTGTAGTTTATATTTGATCAAACTATGAAGTTTTTTCAGGCGACAATAATTTAAGACAGCTGGCCAGATGACAGTAAACTGTCACGTTAGTTCAATGTCAGTAAACTGTCATGGCAGTCCGGATGTTAGTAAACTGACACGGTAGTAAGGATGAGAAGAAACTGCCACCAGTCTTCAAATCGAAACAAAACGCACCCTTTGAGAGGACTCCAGGGCAGCACGCCAATACCCTCGTTCTTGCACACCTGGAATGACTCCAGCTCTGACTCACGGATCACCAAGTTGTACTGTTGCTGGAGACGAACATCTGAGAGTTGAATTTTTTAAATTATAAAAAGTTTAATTACAAATGCATGTTTTATACCGAATTTGTGTCATCAGTGTGGGCACTGACCCCCCACAACACACTACCCTTCCCCCCAAATAAAAGAGAAAGAAAACTGATCACTGTCAGAGATTATCGAAAACAAATCTAGAAGAGATCGAATGAGAAATGAAGAAATTACAAGACCAATTGCAACAACACCCTTTTAATCGAAAAATAAAGGCTGTACTGATTTAACTATTTAATAAAAATAAGCATTGAAGCCAGCAAAGAGAGCGTTCATTATGAAAATAGAAACACTAAGAGTTAAGGGAAGAAGACTGGAGAGTCATTGATGTATTGTGTAAGGCGTAATTTTCACCTTCGTATGTATATTACTTCATTATCATAAATTATCTATGACAATTCGAAAGGTTGGTACTAATTACTAGGCATACTATTTGTGAAATAAATTGAATGTCAAATCGAGGCCAGCTGGAACTTTGTGCAGGTTGGCCGAAGTATGCCAAGGGAAGAAAGCGTGAGAAGAGTTTTGAAGTTTACGAGGAAAAGAAAGAGATTTAAGCCGTGAGATAACGAGAGTTTAATCGTGTTTTCGATCATGAGACAGTGTTTCTGAAGGCCCCGGAAGAGTGGTAGCTGAGTGAATCTACAAGCAAGTGAATGTATGCTCTGCCTCGACCGTGGCTCCAGAGAGAAGCTTCTCTGCCGGCAACAGGTTGAACCTTACCGACTTTTCTTTTTTCATTCTGAACGGAATGGAATGGAAAATAAGAAATGACCAAACAAGAAAAAGTATAATTACCTAGTAAAACCAAACAGCCACAAAATGCTGCGGTTAATTTTGCGACGTCCTGTAAAGGATCATCGTCATCATGGGATTTGCCAGCTGGCGTAGGCGTGCATGCGTCGCCACAGATCTCGGTCTTTGGTGTTTTGGATCAATTTTACTGATGATACCCACCATCAATTCTCTTGGTCTGCCTCTGTCTCTTTTACCAGTAATCTTTCCAGTCGTCACGCTATTTTCAGTGTTCTCACTACACGACCATATAATCGTGTTTGTCTCCTTCTCATTGCTGTTTATAATATTCTACTTTCATTAGACATTTCCAGGCATTCAATGTTGGTTATTCTGACAGTCCAAGGTATTCTCAACATTCTTCTCAAGAACCATATCTCAGCTACCTCTTCTTAATGTCTTTACTCACAGAGTTTTGGGAAATGCTGTTATTGTCTCATAATTCAGTGAAGTGCAAATCCCCACTGCACCTCCAAACGGTAGAGGATGGGTAACACACCAGAGTGTGGCAAACTCAGACTGGGGACCGAGTGTCCACCGGAATAAGTGGACAACCTGCAGCTGAGCAGAACAGGGCACTCACTTGTTCTGACAGTCGGAAATTACTGTCAAAGGTAGAGACCCCCCACGTAGACGTGAAAGCCAACGGGAAACAACCACACAATTTTCCCAAGCATTCGTGAAAAGTCAGATTCAGTTCAGTTTTCGGACAGCCTCGCCCAATAGGCATTGAGCAACAAGTGACACCAGACAGTCATCGGACTACTGTAAAGAATATGCAGCTAAACACAAATTTGATTTCCCCCAATTTTCTCAGACAGATTATGTGAAAGTCATTCATTTTCTTTGTGTGCTCGTATATGGCAATAAACAATGGGAAACAACTCTGTTGAGACCTTGTGGAAATAAATTATGAGCAAGCTCTTTAAGTCTATCTCACAAACATGCTAAATACGTTTGTATGTTGTTGTTTATCAAATCAGATTTTAGACAAGGATATCCCCCCTCCCAGATGAAAGTCTGAGCACCCAGATCTTAATAAGGCGCTATGGTTATTTGGAGATTAGAGGTTCGAAACCAGACATGATAACCATAGCTTTGGCGTTTTATGTTGTCTAGTGTGTGCGATCCTTCTTTCTATGAGTACCAATGAATACCTGACTGTGTGTGTTATATATCACGATTCTCCCCGTGTGGGTTCAGGGCTTCCCTGGGGAAGAAAGCAAGAAAAGACCCACTGCCTTAACAAAAACATGTCATAGAAGTCGATGGCATACTTCTAAGTCGAAGTACATCTACCCGAGAGGCAAGGAATCAACAGTTTGCGTACAAAAAAGTCAGATCTTTCAAACGAACGTGCATGCAACACTCACGTTCTGAGAAAACACTAACATGCAGAAGAGGACGGACAACCCGAGTTTTCCACCGGAGTTTAAAACCGGTGAACGCGAAGAACGCGACCTCTTGCAGCTTTTTAATGAGGATTTATAGTTCGATTTAAACTCAGAACACAGCACTTTGTAGGCACTTAAAAGCTACACTACACAACACAGGGCAACACGCCGGTCAGGAAATATGGCCCCTTCCCATGACGTCACAGAAAAAAAAAAAAAGGCTTTTTCTACAGGAGGCTGTGGTGAGGAAGAAGAGGAAGAGGAGGATATAAGAATTCGACGGCGTCAAAGGCTCTTCTCTCCGTCTAGCTCATTTCTGTGTTACTCCTATAGGCAGAAAAAAGCAGACAGAAAGGGGGTGGGCAGTTTCCAGTAGACTTGGACAATAAATGATCGTACCTGTAGACTGACAATAGGGTTGAGTCCCAACCTGTCGACGATTCCCACCAGTTTCTGCAGCTGCCAACCAGTGACGTTACTGGCACCAATGTAGCGGACTTTTGCCCACACGAACTAGGTCATCCAGTGTTCTCAGGGTTTCTTCCAAAGGTGTCCCTGCATCAAAAATGTGGGTCTGTGAACAGAAACAAACTCTTTGCCCAAGAATATTCTATGTATGTCATGAAATGTCAGGTACAAAAGTTCTTTTAGTTAGCTAGCTAGTAATTTTTTTTTTTTAGTTAGCTAGTCAGATAGTTAGTCTGCTAGTTAATTATTCCTCTAGGTATTTAGATAGCTAGATAGTTAGCTTGTCAATTAATTAGTTCTTCTTCTTTGCATTCGGTTTCGTATGCTCAGGACAAATCATCAGGTGGGTTCTCTTTATGCACTCTCATGTCAGCTGCAGGTCCTTCAATGTTCCACATAGCTTGCTCTTTGGGTTTCTTTTTGACAGTGTAGGTAGAGTGGATAGGTTTGCAGAATGTGCTCAGGTGTTTTTGATCCTGTCTGACAGGCACACTGTGAGAAGCTGTACAATCTTTTTTTTTTTATGCATGTGGCAGTTGAGCCTGCAGTGTCCTGTTCGTAGACGGAAAATTGTTGTATGTTGCTTTCTGTTTAGTCTGCTGATTGGGTCTTGTGGATTTTACTGCTTGTTTTCTCCACAATTCCTTGCATTTCCCCTTGATAAGTGTTCTGATTTCTGGTAATGACAATGAATGGGTGTGCTGTTTCTCTTTTGTTCTATTTATTGCAAGCCCGTTTGCTAACTCATTTCCTGGTATGCCACAGTGAGCCGGGATCCACTGGAGAACTATTTGATTGTTTTGCAGCTATTTGCTGCCAACAGCAGGCTAATGGTGGTGGAGAATTTGTTTTGTTTCTAGAATGGAACTGAATATTTATTGTAACTCCGTCTGTTGCCACTCATGCCTACACAAATCTTCTGTAGTACCAAGCATAGTGGTTTTATATTCATCCCCTTATTTCTCAGTATTTACTCATACACGTGATAGTTGTTTGAATGTGCTTTAATATCATGTTTACGTGTTTTTAACCCGATGTGTTATGATGTCAACATCACGCCGACCGACTTTACTTCCCAGGACTTTGCCTGGTATATATTTTAGTCCCAGATCGACCTGGGAGCCGACATAAAAAATAAAAATAAATTCAACTCGATGCGGATTTGATCCCACAGCCAGTGTCTAGCGGCTACGCCACAGGGGCTTCCACTTCATATGTGTGCTTCCCTATCAATGATTCTTGACAAATAGCCTCCGTACCATATGGGTGACAGGAGCATTGTATTACTGTTTTTGTTTCAGTAAGTACTAAATATATCACAGACTGCGACTAGAAAGCGCAGTGGTGAGACAAGGAAAAAAGTGCCCACAAATACAACTTAACGTTTTGGACAAAAGTCTTATTCAACAGACAAGACTGCATAACTTAGAAAACAGCCAAGGTCAACTGGGAACCACCAATTATCATCATCCTCATCCCGTAGCACTGTGTGGTTGGGTCACCAGTTGCTGGCGACTGTCTGATTGCATCCATCATTGGCTCCATGCTTAAGGTCTGTCGAGTCAGTCAAGTCTTTCTTGACCTGTCTCTTTTCCTCTTCCCCTCCATTGCGCCATAAAGTATTGCCTTTGAGACATCGTTAAATCTCACTACATTTCCATGCCATATATGTTTCCATCCTAACACTGAGTAAAAAGAGGTTCACAGTTGCCTGGTTAGTTGCGTATCCTTTACAGGACGTTGCAGAACCAACCCCAGCAGCCACTGGCTGCTGTGCGGTTTTTCTAGGCAAATTTAAATCCAGTAGTTTACCATTGCTTACTGGACGGTCGGCTTTCTTGATACCACTGTCGAAACCAACGCAAGGCTCATGGCCCGCAGCTGTGATCGAACCCGGCATTACAAAGCGTTCGCATCGACTTAGCCACAGAGCCGACTCACAGTTGCCAAAAAACCAAAAACACGTAAAAGGAAAAAAACGTGCATTAACAGGTATATTATATTACGAAAAAAAAAAAACACGTTAAAAAAACGAGGGAGAAATATACAGTAGAATATATAAATACAGCTTAAACAAAGTTTTGCTTCATTTCTGACTATTCTAATGTTAAACTTTGAATTTGCCAAAGCTCCATCTGGTCAACTCTTCTCAGTTTCAGATGTCAAGCTATTTTCAAAGTGCCCAAAGTATACATGGGATATTTGAGTTGTTAGCGAATGAGCATGGTGTGCTCATTAAAATAACCACCTGAAAAAGCTAACCCACCCACCTGATAGCGACGACGAACCGTGTGACAGAAATGACCCACTCACTTGATAGCAATGGCCGAACCACGTGAGAGAGATGACTCACTAAACTGTAGAGTTGGCCCACCCACCTGATAAAGATGACCCACACAGCCGTTAAAGATAATCCACCCACCTGGTAAAGATCCACAAAGTCTGTATGCAGTCTCTGAAGACTTCTATCGATACTTTCAGTAATGTGACGTCGACTCAGTCCCACGTTGTTGATGTTATTCTCCGTCCCCACATCAAAACGACATTTGGTGGCGATCACAAATTTGTCCCTGGGCTGTCTGTGGATTGGGTCAGACCCATTACATACGACAAGTTTCAAATAATTATCAGGGAATAATATCGCTTGCTTCAGGTACAGAAGATAAAATAATAAATTATTGAACTCTCTGCGTCCCAAACAACGCGGTGTGTGTGAATCAGACTATCTGCTGAAGCCATCTCTAGCTTAATTTGTTTAACTTTTTTCTCTCCAGTCCCATGTGCTTTCAATGCCAATGCATCTTCAATGACCTGTGTCCATCTTCACAAAGGTTGAGAGAATTCTTTGCACTGAAACCCACAAGGTCAAAGGAATAAAGGCGAATTTAAACACACATACACACACAGAGAGAAAGAGAGAGATAGACAGATATATAGATAAATAAATAGAGAGAGAGAGAGAGAGAGAGAGAGAGAGAGGGAGAGAGAGAGAGAGAGAATGGGATGCAAGAGTGACAGTTTGGGAGGATATTTGGCGAGCTACACGCGATATCGATGTAGAAAATGTACTGTGGTTGGTTGAGGGTATACAGGGGATAAAGGTTGAAGGTCAAAGTCTAGAGGATCGACTTCATTGCACTAAGTTTAATCCAATATGGCTCGGTCTCTGACTTCGAAAAAAACACGCACCCTAATTATTAAACTTTTAGGACATATGGGCAGTAAATACCCCCTCCTTTATCTCAAGAAATAGGCCCGCAAAACACACGGGAAATACATAATTGATATCCAGCCTAACTAATGACAGTGACCATAGAAGGGCAACAACTCACGTCTCCAGCCAGCGTCCTACGATAGATTCAGAGATGCCCATTCCATAGACGTCCGCCGTGTCCAGAAAGTTACCTCCCCATTCTACGTAACGGTTGATGATCTCGTGTGACTGAGCTTCATCTGTGTTTCCGGGCCTCCCGAACTGTCAATCATAAAGGTAATCCCTTAACAGTGGTTCCCAGTACGTGAGAACCCGGGATTATCGGAATAAATTTTAGGTTCCCTGTTCGCAGTATAAACTTGTATAAATTTAGATCCTTTCATTTCTCGGCACTCTTCCTGACACTACTCACCTGGTTCTCTCCAAAGGTCATAGTTCCCAGGGTGATGTTGGACACTTTCAGTCCCGACTTGCCCAGGAACACATATGGCGTCTTACTGCCTTCTGGTATTGGGACAGCCATTGTTGCGTTTGGTACCTAAGTAGTGGGAACTATGGCTGAAATTGTTAGAAAAAGATAATCTTGTTAAACTGTCTCGTTATGTTACGATTTTGAGAACTATCGTTCATCTAGTCTTTGAATCATTAAAAAAAAAAAACTGCAGAAAATGGAGAACAAGAAGCTACATGGAAATTCATAATCTGGTTTAATGTCCACTTGGCGTTCACCGACTGTAAACTCTGGTGAAAAGTATTGTTTGTTCATTCATATCTGGACTTGCCTTGTTCCAAAAACTGGAATTTTACGGGCTCTCCTGTCAACTACGGCCGGTAGACAACAGTAGACGGCCGGTTAGTCGGAGTTCTGTCCCCTGGCTGCAGTGCAATTACGGACTGGAGAAGACACAAATCAGATCACAAAGTGAGGTCGACATGCCTAGCAGACCCCGCGCTGCGACTCAAATTAGCGACTGCGTTCAATTAGCGCTTCTTGCGGCGAATTACGGAATGGATTAAAGGGAACGATACAAGTATCAGAATTACTGTGTGTTAGCGATAGACAGCGTGCAGTGCCCTACTGTCAGCATACGGTTTGGGTGTTGGTTAGGGTGTGTGTTAGGGTTAGGGGTAGGGTTTGGGTTAGGTTTAGGGTTTGGGTTAGGTTTAGGGTTAGGGTTTGGGTTGCTACTTTGAGTTTGTGCGAAGACGAGATGCGGCGACACTACCCGTAACCATAACCCTAACACTAAACCTAACCCACACCCTACCCCTAATCCTAACCCAAACCCTAAACCTAACCCAAACCCTAAACCTAACCCAAACCCTACCCCTAACCCTAACCATAAACCTAACCCAAACCCTACCCCTAACCCTAACCCTACCCCTAACCCAAACCCTAAACCAAACCCTAACCGTATGATTATAGCAGGGCAGTGCAGGCTGTCTATCGCCAACACACAGTAATTATGTCATTTGTTTCGTTACCTCCTGTCCAGTCCGTAATAGAACTGCAGCCAGGGGACAAAACTCCGACTAACCGGCCGTCTACCGTTGTCTACCGGCCGTAGTTGACAGGAGAGCCCAGATGTTCTTGGACTTCGAAGGAAAACACCCCTAATTTTAGTCTTCTACGACATAGTTGTTAGAGGGCAGTGAGTCTATTTTTCAAGCCACTTCCCCGCAATGGTGCCCTGGAGCCCACACGGGAAATATTTTGATTACATTGGCACAAATTACTGGTATCATGATAGTTAATACAACTGGTTGGAGTATATAGAATGAATGGCAGACAACAGACGGACGGAAACTGCGCCTGCAGTGAACTCACTAGAAATGGACCAAGACGCACCCAAATAAGACGATGTAGAGATAATATACAGGCAGAACTATGTAACGAAACTAACTGGGTACACAGTTTGTGGATGTGTGCAGACAATCGCTGTCTTCTAAATGTCGTAAGCTCGAATAAGTTTTCCAACTTTCTAATCCAGCACTATGCTTCTCTGTGTGTTAACACTGTCAAGACATGAACAAAAAGCTGTGAGAGAACACACACAGCCGTTTCAAAGCAAACACAGATGAACGCAGATGTTCTCCTTTAAATTAGACCCTCTATTTAAGATACTCTTTCATCCACAGAACATATCTTAACTACATACATACAGATTAAAAGTAAGATGATTGACTTCATAGCACTGGGTTTATCCCATATGGTTCAGTCTCTCTCTGCAGAACGGCTAGCCACTTGCCGAGAGCGTACACAAATAACGAACTCCGTAGCCTCAGTGACGATCCATAGGAGTCTCCGTAAAACTACCCTCGTGGACCGAACGGCATAGCTATGAAAGGAACCCACGACCTCCAGAGCGCGACACAGAGGGATTGAACAGTTCACCACAGAGACTCATTAACTACACATATACTTCTGCCAAACAATCACCGCTAAACTATCACATATATTATTCAAAATACTTTAAATCTTTCAACCGCAGCCTGGGATCTCTGGGTCACAACTGACACGAACTAAGTTCTCGTCTTTTCTCCCGGGTCTCTTTCGCCACGGTTATTCCGTGCCGCGAGTATCGTTGGATGGTATTTTTTGCCTGCATGTTATTACACTGAGCTACTACTCAAAACACGGTCTTCATTGGGAGATTGACTGAGGAGGGAATGAAAGCACCACATACGAACTGAAAAATTGGGTGTGCACTGAGTGAGGATAATCTGTCGCCTAATTAACGAACTAATATAATAGCCAGCTTAAAATTACTTTTTTTTTTTTATCTTTTGCGACGTTTTTCTTCTTCTTCTTTCGTTCGCTTTAAATAAATTATCTGTATCTGCAACGCTGTCTCTTTTATGAACTTTACTCATCATCATCATAAACCACTTCTGTCGTTAAGAGTCGTGGGGAGGGGGGGGGGGGGGATAATTTGCGATCCAGTGCACGTTGGTTGCCACTGGCTATTGTCATGTCGTGTGGCGTAGAGTGCCTTTAATGTTGTCGATCCATATTTTCCGCGGCCGTCCTCTCGCTCTTGTTGCTGATCTTCTGAAATGAAGTGTTTTTTTTAATGTTATTTGATCTTGCTGCATTCTAACGAGATGCCCAAACCACTTGATCTGGTGTTTCTCGATGAATCTAGTACAAGGTGTCTCTCCCACAATTTGCCTGATAGTTTCATTATTCACTCGATCTCGTATGGTTAGGTTGGCTGCTTTTCTCAGGCACCTCATCTCGCAGGTGGTAATTTTGCATATATGGGCTTTAGATAGTGTCCATGTTTGGCACTGGTAGCTTAATGTTGGAATAAATATGATATTAATAATCTGTCTCTTTGCACTCATAGTTATGCTTGGATATCCTAATAATGGTGACAATTGGTATATAAGTGCACTTGCTTTCTGACATCTAGTTTCTATTTCTCTGTCAATTCCACCATCTTCTGTGATCATACTTCCTAGATATTTAAACTCCCTAACTTGATTCAGGGCAGAACCATTCAGCTGTATGTGTAGTAGGGCAGAATGTCTACTAACTTGCATTGTTTCGGTTTTGTTTACATTGATCTTCATGTTGTATTTACTACATGCTGATATGAACTTTACTGTCTTTTGTAATTCACCCAACGACCCGTAAAGTTTGACTTGCACCGATGTTTCTATTGGCCACAAGTTTTTGTCTTGATATTGTGTATTTGGGAAAGTCTCGGAAAACAGGATCTGTTGTCTCAGGTGTCAATCCATATGTGCACATGGCAGATTCGCCGATTTTTAAATTCTGTCTACATGTGGCTGCAAAGTTGATTGTGTTCGTTATAAGGCGGAGAATAATAACTTGCTCTGAACTGTCCATAAAATGGTAATCATTTTGTGCCCGTTTTGGTGGCTTTCGAATTGATTTGATTATTTCGTGATGTGAAAACTTACACCAGTTTATGAAATTGAGGCTTTTGAGCACTTTCTCTTAGATGTCTTTCCCTAGTATAGGAGGCAATTTGTTGTTATTTTAAAGCCCCACCCCGTCTGTAGTCGGGGTCCTAATACAAACAAATGGTTGAACAGGGTTTCTGAGACTTGTACCTAGGTGATTCTCATCTGAATGGTGGCACTTTGTGTCACCAGGTGTTTATCGCTTGTTGTGCGGTCCTGGTGGGGTTGAACTCACTCATTCCTTCATCTTCACTTGGTGTCAAGACGTGAACCAACTCTTGCAAATTGTAGACTTGATTATGATTTGTTTGATTTTGTTATCAAAGTTTTATCATGGATACGATAGGCAGTATGCTTTCTTGCTTTCCACAATATATCGGCCTATCTCTTCAGGAAAATTACTACAGTTACATCAATATATAACGACGAACAAATACCCAAAAAAAAAAAAAAAAAATCCTTTCTATTAAAATACATAAGTTACGTTTTCTTCTCTAGTTCCACTGTTCATCCCACAACCTGAAGTTCAAGATTCCATGTGGTTACCATGGGAGTTTTGTATTTACTACATGCTCTTTTTGTTTGCACACAGAGGTATTGTTAATTACATACATGATAGGCTGCAGTAATATTGTACTTTGCTTTCCGAGCATCATACATGAGACTTTAAGACTTACACATCTTAAAATACACACACACACATACGCGCGCGCGCGCACACACACACACACTAGCAAATCTCTTGTACTTACCCGAGGGTATTTGCAACAACAGTTTGACACTCTAGCCCTCACACAAACAGTCTAGTATTGAATGCCTGACCTGTAAATACGTTGATTGTACGTGGACTAAGTAACAACCTCACCCACAACAACTACATGCAGCTTGATGATCTATCAGGGCTGATTCAAATCTGCAGACAGAAAATACGTTTATAAAAACAGCAGACCGGTTCTCTTATCGGCACAGAAATTGGACCACTGAAATTAGACCACTGAACATAGATCAGTTTGACTAAGAAAAGCCACTGAAATTGGACCTCTGAACACGGACCAGTATAGTTGAGATAACTGAAGTAATAGATCAAAGTGGCTAGCAATCAGTTATGTCACTGAGCTATCGTGCAAGACAATGTCCCTCATTCACAGGCCTAGTCAGTCTCACATAAAATACTTCCGTCCTCCGATGCAGCATCTATCTCCATGTCTCCATTGTTTCAAAGTACCTGGTAGGAGTTTAAAGCTACCATTAAAGCAGGTTACGGAATCTACATAGGTTATCCCGATGGATCTGTTGAAGAGATTTTTGATGCATGCGGGGAATTCTGTTCAAACTATGAAGCTGAAATAATTGCACTGGAAACAGCCGTATACCACCTAAAGACTGTAATGGATGTTTACCCCTCAAAGGTCCAAAATATTGTCATCTTCACAGATTCAATGTCTGCCCTTCAAGCTCTGGAGGGCAATGAACGCTGCAGAACTGACATAGCCAAGATAATCCTGGATGCCGATCAGCTTATTACCTCATACAACATCAGAATAGTGATGCAGTGGATTCCAGGTCACTCCGGCACACCAGGTAATGACAGAGCTGACAGATTGG